TTCATTTGCAACTCAGGTATTAGCTCAGCAGTAACATCTCGAATAGTCACAACAATGAGCACATGAGCGTAGCACTTCAGAAAACAACAGTGCACCATTGCAGCCTTGCAATGTTACGCTCGCCCCACTGCTGACAGAAGGGACCTTCACTCAAGGGAGCACTAGAGGGTACTTGGCCTGCTCTTCCATGCCGCCCAGGCATCTTAGTAACGGGAGTACCCACACTTGATCCCACCACGCGCCGTGATAATCGCCTAGCTGTGGAGTACAAATGTGGACTGCTGGGTGGTCATAGTCTGGGGGTGGGGTTCAGAAACGTGGCCATTGTCTCACCCCCCGCACCGGGACATTGAACTGGCGACCTCTGCGTTGCGAGTCCGGTGTGGTGACCGTTACACCACGACAGGCATCCCGCAGTTTTGTTGACTGCCTTCTCTACATCAGATCTGCACTCCGATGACTGCTGCCTACTTTGGCCTTCCCGCTGTGCAGCAGAGAAACACGCTTCTGGATGCAAATGCAGAAGGTGTTGCATCCAAGTGTTCGGAAAAGGCCTGAACTCGTCGGGCCAGAATCAAAGATGAGTGGAAGAGCAGTGAGTCCAATGAACGGAAAGTGGTGGCAGTAGCTACCGCTATTAGTGACAACTTGACAAAGCGCTTTATCTGTTAAGACGTTGAGGAAATGCGTTGGGGAAAGAGAAGCAAATGAGAGAGTAATGTATTCACAGTCTCATATCACAAAAAAACTACAAAGATACAGTGCTGTATAGATATTTTAAAATGTATCATTGTGGGTAATGTTAAAATATTCAATATTATCAATAACATAGCAGCCAGTTATGTTTAATTTAGTTACAGGGTTTTTACTAGTGTCAACTTCATAGCGTGTGCACATCTGTAAGCCAGAGCTTTTGAGACGTGATCGCGACATCACGTAGATTTCATGATGTGCTGCACAACTTCTACCAGCCGAATTGGAAGGCCAAATACATTGCAGTCCACAAGATAAGTTCCTGATCCATCTGTGCGGTATGTTGAGTATTGTTTCTTTTTTAAAAAATTCTCGTTTTGTGGAGGTGTTGATGGATTGCGTCCCAACAAGGTGTGGAAGAATATCATTCACCTAAGCTCTCCGACAAATACGCACTCTTATCACCGAGTGAGTGCCAGCAGACAGAACGTTGTCAAACGTGGACTCAAGAGTGGGAGGTTTACAGAGATGGGAGGGAGGGAGAGGCACGGAAGGGAAAGGGAGGAAACTGAGGAGGGAGGGATCACAGAAAAAAAGATGAGTGGGTGAAGAGGGGGGGGGATCCCTCACCTTGGAAGCGAAGGCTGCAGTAGGGGTCGCTCAAATCCCCCTCGTCCACGGGGAGATTGGTACCGCGAGACACAGCCACCCTCAACATGTTGCTCTGCCCGACTGTCTCGCTACAAGGGCAACACCCGGCCACGGACTCCACGGGCACCAACCAGAATTCCAAAACGGACGTCTAAAAAAAAAGATCTCCCTTCTTGCGTGCGTGGCTACCAGACACGCACACACGCCACACACATACGGACAGAGCGTACGCACGGGCTGCGAGGTGGGTGGGTGGGTCGCACCCACACACCACATTTAAGGGATGCGATTCCCAAGAGGTGCGCGTGGGAGCGTGCGCGTGCGTGCGATGCTGGAACTGCATGCGATCCAAACAGCGGGCACGTGGAATGCTGTGTTGCCCTATGCCCTCCCAAGCCCCCCCCCCCCCCCCCCTGCGCTAATGCGTCAAATTATGCGTACGCAATATAAGCGCGACATTCCCAGGCCAGGCCATGCATTCAACTTGCAAGCAAGCCTCCCCCCGGCAGGTACGCAGGGAATATCTGAACGCATGCGGCCGACTAGCAGTGTATTATAGCAGGTGGCCTGATGCGTCGTAAATAAACCAGCGCACTAATGCCGCAAGCACGTCGCGCGTGCAGGGTCATTCCACCCTGTCCCAGGTGTCTGGGCAGCGTGGACGAGTGGCCAAAACCAGCTCCGGAGAGAGAGTCTAGGGACCCCTCACAACATTCATACCGCACGTGAGAATCATCTTTATTGGACTGCAGGAGGAATCCGATGAGCTGTGAAGATCTTCACGGATGTCCAGTAGGAGCATAGGAGTGCAAAGTATAGTAAAGATAAACAAACCACTGAAAAATAGACAAAACTAAACCAATTCTAGATTTGAAGTTTTCGTGACTGCAAGGATCCATACTCTTTGGTTCTTTCGGTAAAGACACGTAGGTGAAAAATAAAAATAATAATGAAAATAAAATGAAAATAACTAAATTAAATCACGACGTTTCGGGCGCAACACAAGCGTCCGTCATCAGGTGGGAAAGTGTGGCCTGCTGCTGATACAGACTGTTTTAAAGGTTTGAAATGGGTGTAGCCCAAGGGTCATAAAGAAGTGGCTGGGTCTAGTGATGATAATGTGAGAAGTCAGCATGTAAGCCCACTGAGGTATTAACTTTTGTTTCAAAGGCGACCTGGCCACGAATGATAGCTCAACAAAGTGGCTTATCATGTGGAAATGTATTGCAGCGTAATAATCTAAATTAGATATCATACAATTCCCATCCCTATATCGGTGTCAATCCATGGACTAAGAGCACTCTGTGCACCGATTATAGGGATAATTAATTGATGACAAATCCACGCCCCAGTAGTCGCTCATTGGTTAGGATGATAATGACTCGAACAAGTGAGACGGTCAGGGCCTCTAAACACCGAGAAGCAAGCCGGCTGCACTTTGCAGCTGGAAGTGTCTGTTGCAGTGTTTTTCACAACCCAGCCACATTTCCACCAATACATTTGCTCAGTAAACATACCAGCGTTGGGCCAACGTTGGTATGTGGTTGTAACCATTGGACGAACGTTGGCCCAACGTTCCCTGTTTACTGGGGGAGCTTTAAAGCACACGCTGCATAATTTGTGGAGTTCCAAATAAAGCTTCCTTTCTGAGTTTGAAGTAGTGATTGCATTTTCTTGTCACGTGCGGTTTTGCCGCTTTGAAGTCCATCTCATGATACCAGACCGAACGTTTGTAATCCAGCGTTCGTGTACAGGTAGCTGGGAGCCCCCTGATTGGCTGCTGACGGGGAGAATGATAAAATTCTTCACATTTGTTTTCCTCTCTGTCCAGTATCCACGATTCAATGTTCCCTCATTGTTCTATCCCGCCTCTAGAAGTATTCTATGAAGGAAAAGACTACAGTATATCTATACTGAACACACGACTGTACTTAATACTCCTATAGCCAGTCGCATAACATTTCCTTTCGTGAAATGTCCTCTTGGTTCACGTAGATTTGCATTGCACGCTGTCATACCCTGGCTCACCAGGAGAAGGCGTTTGTATGGGATTGTTTCCCCCTCACACGCGTCAATATTCTCCACATATATAAACGCTCATTAATTCGCCGATGACACATTCATATATAGAGGGCCGCAGAGCTTGGGCAACTCCTGGCGCTGGCTCGTGGTGCGGCTGTCTTCCTTCTCGCCTGTGGCGAGCGAGCGAATGCCGTGCGCATTACGCGTCGAATGACTAACTGCGAGCTCAGTTGAAACGAAAGCCAGAAGACTCTGCAGCCCCCGAGTAAGGGAGTCCAGTGCTGCCCTGCCCTGTGTGACCTGCACGCGGCACACCACGTGCCCCTGCACTTGAGCCATTTCGACGGCAAGCGGCGCTTTCTCTCCGTAGTCCAAGGGGCCGTCCATAAATGACGTCACGCACCCTTGGGGGGGGGGGGGGGGGTTTGAGAAATGTGACGTCACGTCAAAATGCGCAACTTTAAATAAATAGACAACACGTTGTAATTAATTAAGTAGACTTTTTAATAAATGTTTCCTCCCACAACATCAGAGTGCAGCGCCACATTAAATACGCACTACAATGACAATAGTTTCAAGCGATTTGAAGCATGTTTTATTTGGGGGGGGGGGCAGAGCTTTGTGACGTCATATTTGAGGGGGGGGGTCTGACTTTTTGTGACGCCGTGTGACGAAGGGGGGGGGATTAAAAATAGTCCAAAATCGCGTGACGTCATTTATGGACGGCCTCCAATGATAAAGCAAGGGATGTTGAACGACACATGATAAACCGGTAACCGTTTTTCAGACTCAATCCTACTCTGAAAGCGAAGAACCGGTAACCGATTCCAATGGAACCCCCTCCAGAGTGGCAGTCATCACGTGCTGCATTTGTTCCGTTTCTCAGTTGCAGGCTAAAGGTGCAGTCCTGCAATTTCTCGCTGACGCCACTGCTGACGACTCTAGAGGGGGCTCTAGAGCGATATTCTGTCCACTCTTCCCACGCTTACCAGACTTCTCGGAATCGGGTGGGTCAACTCTTGAATTGAAAGTCGAGGGTGCCGATAACCATTGCGCCACGGTCGCTCTCTTCACTTCTCACTAAACAAAAACATATTACAAGTTAACTTCTCAGTTAAAAATGCAAACCGATAGGGGTTTTAATTTTGATTTAAAGCTTTCGTGACTGCAGTAATTCATATTCTTAGCTCTTTCGGTAAAGTCACGTTGAAGGGAAACAATAAAGTAATAAAATATATATAAAACAAAAATATATTTTATTATTTTATTGTTTCCCTTCAACGTGACTTTACCGAAAGAGCTAAGAATACGATGGGTTTTTTTTTGTGTAAGCGCTTTACAAGCAATGCAAAACACCGATTTAACGACCTTTCAAAAAGTAACCCCTTTTCCGCCACCAATAATTCCCCAAACTCCATGCACTGCCAGCAACTGGCCACAGGATGTCAGAGCGGGCCTCCTGCGTCTGTGCCTCCGTGGCGCGTGCGACGACGACGTCGTAGTTGTTGTTGTTGGCGTGTGTCTCGAGTTTGGTTGGCGGTGATCATGATGATGATGGTGGTGGTGGTGGGGGGGTGAGTGTTTGGGGTCCAGCTCAGGGCGCGGGGAGGAGTTAGGGAAGCGGGTGGGAGGGTGCAAGAAGTTGGCAGTTGTGGGGTGACGAGAGCTGCAACACGCCGCCACCACCACCACCACCACCGCCTCCGCCGCATCCCCTCTCGTTTCTCCATCCTCTCCCACTCAACCCGAGACCACCGTGCATCGCCAGCCACTGCACTCGCGACGCAGCAGCTCCGGGGCTGACTTCAAGTCTGCACCCTGGATCATCATCATCATCATAGTCGTCGTCATCGGTGCTGAGGTTCACCGCTCCTCATCCTGTCGCGCTACCGAGAGGGCAGGAGCGAGGAGAAGGGGCAGCAGCAGCAGCAGCAGGAGGGGCAGCAGCAGGAGCAGGGGCAGCAGCAGGAGGAGGAGGAGGAGGGAGGCGGAGGTCTCGGGACGGGGTCCAGGGGGGTCGGGGGGTCAGGGGGTGCATGGAGCCCCTGGGCCCCCTGCTGCTCGCAGCTGCGTGCAGCCTCTGGCACGTGGGGCAGGGGGCAGGTAAGGATCAGTGTGTGTAGCAGTGTGTTAAAGTGTGTGTAGCAGTGTGTTAAAGTGTGTGCAGCAGTGTGTTAAAGTGTGTGTAGCAGTGTGTTAAAGTGTGTGTAGCAGTGTGTTAAAGTGTGTGTAGCAGTGTGTTAAAGTGTGTGTAGCAGTGTGTTAAAGTGTGTGCAGCAGTGTGTTAAAGTGTGTGTAGCAGTGTGTTAAAGTGTGTGTAGCAGTGTGTTAAAGTGTGTGTAGCAGTGTGTTAAAGTGTGTGTAGCAGTGTGTTAAAGTGTGTGTAGCAGTGTGTTAAAGTGTGTGTAGCAGTGTGTTAAAGTGTGTGTAGCAGTGTGTTAAAGTGTGTGTAGCAGTGTGTTAAAGTGTGTGTAGCAGTGTGTTAAAGTGTGTGTAGCAGTGTGTTAAAGTGTGTGTAGCAGTGTGTTAAAGTGTGTGTAGCAGTGTGTTAAAGTGTGTGTAGCAGTGTGTTAAAGTGTGTGTAGCTGTGTGTTAAAGTGTGTGTAGCAGTGTGTTAAAGTGTGTGTAGCAGTGTGTTAAAGTGTGTGTAGCAGTGTGTTAAAGTGTGTGTAGCAGTGTGTTAAAGTGTGTGTAGCAGTGTGTTAAAGTGTGTGTAGCAGTGTGTTAAAGTGTGTGTAGCAGTGTGTTAAAGTGTGTGTAGCAGTGTGTTAAAGTGTGTGTAGCTGTGTATTAAAGTGTGTGTAGCTGTTTAAAGTGTGTGTGTAGCAGTGTGTTAAAGTGTGTGTAGCAGTGTGTTAAAGTGTGTGTAGCAGTGTGTTAAAGTGTGTGTAGCAGTGTGTTAAAGTGTGTGTAGCTGTGTGTTAAAGTGTGTGTAGCTGTGTGTTAAAGTGTGTGTAGCAGTGTGTTAAAGTGTGTGTAGCAGTGTGTTAAAGTGTGTGTAGCAGTGTGTTAAAGTGTGTGTAGCAGTGTGTTAAAGTGTGTGTAGCAGTGTGTTAAAGTGTGTGTAGCTGTGTGTTAAAGTGTGTGTAGCTGTGTGTTAAAGTGTGTGTAGCAGTGTGTTAAAGTGTGTGTAGCAGTGTGTTAAAGTGTGTGTAGCAGTGTGTTAAAGTGTGTGTAGCAGTGTGTTAAAGTGTGTGTAGCAGTGTGTTAAAGTGTGTGTAGCAGTGTGTTAAAGTGTGTGTAGCAGTGTGTTAAAGTGTGTGTAGCAATGTGTTAAAGTGTGTGTAGCAGTGTGTTAAAGTGTGTGTAGCAGTGTGTTAAAGTGTGTGTAGCAGTGTGTTAAAGTGTGTGTAGCAGTGTGTTAAAGTGTGTGTAGCAGTGTGTTAAAGTGTGTGTAGCTGTGTATTAAAGTGTGTGTAGCTGTTTAAAGTGTGTGTAGCAGTGTGTTAAAGTGTGTGTAGCAGTGTGTTAAAATGTGTGTAGCAGTGTGTTAAAGTGTGTGTAGCAGTGTGTTAAAGTGTGTGTAGCTGTGTGTTAAAGTGTGTGTAGCTGTGTGTTAAAGTGTGTGTAGCAGTGTGTTAAAGTGTGTGTAGCAGTGTGTTAAAGTGTGTGTAGCAGTGTGTTAAAGTGTGTGTAGCAGTGTGTTAAAGTGTGTGTAGCAGTGTGTTAAAGTGTGTGTAGCTGTGTGTTAAAGTGTGTAGCTGTGTGTTAAAGTGTGTGTAGCAGTGTGTTAAAGTGTGTGTAGCTGTGTGTTAAAGTGTGTGTAGCTGTGTGTTAAAGTGTGTGTAGCTGTGTGTTAAAGTGTGTGTAGCTGTGTGTTAAAGTGTGTGTAGCTGTGTTTAAAGTGTGTGTAGCAGTGTGTTAAAGTGTGTGTAGCTGTGTGTTAAAGTGTGTGTAGCAGTGTGTTAAAGTGTGTGTAGCAGTGTGTTAAAGTGTGTGTAGCAGTGTGTTAAAGTGTGTGTAGCAGTGTGTTAAAGTGTGTGTAGCAGTGTGTTAAAGTGTGTGTAGCTGTGTGTTAAAGTGTGTGTAGCAGTGTGTTAAAGTGTGTGTAGCTGTGTGTTAAAGTGTGTGTAGCTGTGTGTTAAAGTGTGTGTAGCAGTGTGTTAAAGTGTGTGTAGCAGTGTGTTAAAGTGTGTGTAGCAGTGTGTTAAAGTGTGTGTAGCTGTGCGTTAAAGTGTGTGTAGCAGTGTGTTGAAGTGTGTGTAGCTGTGTGTTAAAGTGTGTAGCTGTGTGTTAAAGTGTGTGTAGCAGTGTGTTAAAGTGTGTGTAGCTGTGTGTTAAAGTGTGTGTAGCTGTGCGTTAAAGTGTGTGTAGCTGTGTGTTAAAGTGTGTGTAGCTGTGTGTTAAAGTGTGTGTAGCTGTGTTTAAAGTGTGTGTAGCAGTGTGTTAAAGTGTGTGTAGCTGTGTGTTAAAGTGTGTGTAGCTGTGTGTTAAAGTGTGTGTAGCAGTGTGTTAAAGTGTGTGTAGCAGTGTGTTAAAGTGTGTGTAGCTGTGTGTTAAAGTGTGTGTAGCTGTGTGTTAAAGTTTGTGTAGCTGTGTGTTAAAGTGTGTGTAGCTGTGCGTTAAAGTGTGTGTAGCTGTGTGTTAAAGTGTGTGTAGCAGTGTGTTAAAGTGTGTGTAGCTGTGTGTTAAAGTGTGTGTACCTGTGTGTTCCAATGTGTACCTGTGTATATCAGTGTGTGTACCTGTGTGTTAAAGTGTGTGTACCTGTGTGTTAAAGTGTGTGTACCTGTGTGTTCCAATGTGTACCTGTGTATATCAGTGTGTGTACCTGTGTATATCAGTGTGTGTACCTGCGTGTGTGTACCTGCGTGTGTCATCGGCTACAGAATCCCACGTCAGAGAATGAGGAGGCTTACCGCAGCCTTCGCTCGGAGGTTCGGAGAGCCGTGAGGCGCTGCAAGGATGGGTGGTGGTCGCGGGTTGCTGAGGAGATGGAGTCTGCCTCAGTGGCCCGTGATCACAAATCGCTATTTAACTCCATCAAAAAAGTAACCTGCAGCGCCACACCTATTACCATCATTAGGGGAAAAAACGGTGATCCAATTTCCGACCCCCAGGAACAGGTTCGCAGATTTGCTGAGCATTTCTGTGAGGTCCTGGGGGAGGGAAAATCCCACAGCCAGGAAAACATCGTGGCACAAAGTGAGGATGACCCTGCTGAGGCTGCGGTGCCTCAAATATTGGATGAAGTCACCCCCTGTGAGTGGCTGGCTGAGGTGCCATCTGCTGAGGAAGTATTGAAGGCGATACGGAGTCTGAGACCAGGAAAGGCAGCGGGCAGAGATGATCTCCCAAGCGAAATGCTGAGGGAGGGTGGCGTTTGTGCACAGACTGCCCTATATGACATCATAACAACAGTCTGGACCACTGGACGGGTTCCGCAGGATTGGAAGGATGCCCTGGTGGTCCCCCTTTTTAAGAAGGGGGACCGCACAGACTGTAACAACTACAGGGGCATCTCACTCCTCAGTGTGCCGGGAAAGGTCCTGGCAAGGATTATTCAGCATCGCCTTGCCAGGCACGCTGAGGAGAGGCTTGCGGAGCCCCAATGCGGTTTCAGGAAAGGGCGGTCCTGCACGGATGCCATATTTTCTGTCCGTCTGCTACAGCAGAGGTGTAGGGAATTCCAACAAGACCTACATCTCTGCTTTATTGACCTGGTCAAGGCCTATGATACCATCAGTAGGCCTGGGCTCTGGGTCGTTCTTCGTGCTTTTGGAGTACCTGACCCTCTGCTCACGATCATTAAGGACCTTCATGATGGTGAGCGGGCCCGGGTAAAACTACGTGGCCGGGAGTCAGAGCCATTCCCTGTACACCTTGGGGTGCGACAGGGATGTCCTCTGGCTCCCACATTATTTAACATCTATTTTGACCACGTAGTTCGTGAAGCCTTCAATAGCTGTATCGGGGGAATCTCCATATGGTACAGATATAATGGGAGGCTAATCGATGCCCGGGTGCGGTCAAGGGATGGCTCCCTATTGCTCAACCACGTTATGTATGCTGATGACTTGGTAATAGCTGCTCAGTCAGAGGAGGAGTTGGAGACGCTGCTGCTGAGACTGGAGCGTGCCACTAAGAGGTGGGGCCTTACCATCAGCCCCACCAAAACTAAGCACCTGCCTGGGTATTTTGTACCATCGGACACTCCACCCCCACAACTCCCAATCGGTGATGGGGCAGTTGTGGAGAGAGTGGAGAGTTTCCCATACCTGGGCAGTGTGCTTATGACTGGCTCCAGTTTAACAGCAGAGGTCTCACTCCGAATCAGTCGAGCGGCAATATCTTTTCATCGGTTGCGTAACGCTGTGTGGAAGCTACCTGGTCTGTCGCTCCGCACTAAGCTTCAGGTCTTCTCGGCCACGGTCATTCCCTCCCTTCTCTACGCTTGCGAAACGTGGACCCCCCTAATGGAACATCTTCGCCGGTTAGAAACATTTAGGCTGACCTGCCTACGATCCATCCTGGGTTTAACCAGACTGGATTGTGTGAGGAGCTCACAAATCCTTGAAAGATCTGGGCAGGGTCCCATCGGTGAGCTCCTCCGGCAGGCAAGGCTGCGATGGCTGGGTCATGTAGCCCGCATGCCCAGCCACCGCATGCCGAAACAGCTTTTGTTTGGCCGGATTGAGGGGGCTAAGCGGGCGCGGCACGGGCTAGAGAAGAGATGGAGTGATGTGGTACAGGAGGACGTGGAGCTGAGTGGACTTGCCGATGACTGGTACCAGCGGTGTCAAGATCGGCCTCTGTGGAGGAGGCTCGTGAAGGATGCTACTGGGCAGTTGGAGGCAGTCGCCCTCCAACAACAACGGAGGGCGGAGGAGCGACGCTCACAACAGCGAGCGGAGCGCCGGGTGGCTAAAGCACAGCAGGTTGGCACAGTAGGGGGCACAGGTGGTGCATCAGCCAGTCATCTCAGTCAGTCGACCCGTGGCACCTGGGTCTGCCCCGTGACCTCCTGCCAGCGGGCGTTCGACACTTCACGTGGCCTCAGGGTGCACATAGCCTGGCACAAGCGTCGTGGTGACGTCACCGCCACTTAGTGGCGAATGGCGGTTGTTGTTGTACCTGTGTCAGTGTAAGTGCCTGTGTGTTGC